CGATGTGCCCTGTGTTACCCCGTGCCTTTGTTTCCCCAACCCCAAAGGTGCAAGGGGGGATAAGCACGGGACGAGGCAGCACCTCCTGGGAATCGGAAATGCTGCCTGTGGCCCCTCCGGAGAGGCGGGCCCCCCGGTAGAGCAGGTCCAGCCCGCGGCCCTCGGGCGCGGGCGCAGCCATGGGACAGTGCCCAGAGCACCGTGAGCCACGCCGGCTGGAGGGGCAGGGAAAGGACGTGCTTGTGTTACGGCAAAGCCCCGGCAATGCCGCCAGCAGGATCTGCTGCTCGAGGCATCAGCGTTGGCCCGGGCACACCTGTGTCCCACCCAGCAGGGACACGGCTCCTGCACAGATCCCACGGGCGTTTCCTGGCTGAAGCCACGCGGCTGCAGATGCTAGGAGACCCCCAGACCCTGCTCGCCTGTGGCCGGTTTCTGAAGGCCCATGCACTCACTGCCTCTACGCCCCAGCTTCGGAAACCAGCAGCCGATTTTAAGCAAGCCCTAATGGGAACCGAGGTCCTAAAGCTCTTGAGCTCCTCGACATTCAGGGGTCGGAGGAGCCCAACAGGGAGAGGGTGCGGGGCGAGCGATTGTTTCCTTGGGAGCAACGGGTGACACCACGCGAAGCCAAAGAAAAGGAGGATTTCCCTTCGAACATGTGGCCGCCGCAGCCCCCTCCCCACCACGGCAGAGCACCTGCAGCCCACGAGCCCATGCCCGCTCCAGGGCAGATGCCATCTGTGTTTTTTGGGAAGGGGTCAGCCCCGTGGAGGGGAGGCTGCCGGAGCCCTCGGCGTGTTACCTGCTTAACCCAGGTAGCCCAGCCCTGCAATGCAGATCTGCAAATCTGTTCTCCTCCAGGCTCTCACCAAAGCCTTTGCGACACCTGGGTCTGCATACCCCACCGGCACCCGGGGAGACGGGCGATAAAATCACCAACAGGTCCAGGTGACAGCTAAACCCGCTCTGCCAGGCTGGGCTCAGCGCTAGGCGCTCAAAAAAAAGGTCGGGCCCCGCCGCTGGCCGTTCCCCCCACCCTGCTCGCCTGCAGACTCAGGCTTGCTCGCAACGAGGCAGCTGCGGCTCACGGGCAAGTAAACACAAGGCCCCCGCACAGGGAGATGAAAGCAGGGTGCTGCCTGGGTGGCGGAGGCAGCAGAGAAAGGCCCAGCACCAGCTGCGGTGGCTCTGCAAACCTGTCTGGGCAACATCCTGCACTGCTGCACGCTGCAGAGGACAGGCTTGGCTGCAGCGGCACCTCTGAGCCCCGGCGGCTCCTCTTCCCTAAAGGTGCTTTTCCCGCTCCTCCCTTGGCCGAGCTGGTTTCATACGGAAGCAGCCAGCCCTTTCCCCCACAAAAAGGGAGGGCAGAGGACGGCAGGACCCTGCAGCCCCGGGGGTGACAACCGGACGGGTGCCGCACACCCCCGGACACGGCGCTCACGGCATCCGAGGTCGGTGTGAGAGGGAAAGCAGATGAAGAGCGACGCGCGCCGACCTGGCGCCGCTCATCCCCCACTTGCAGCCCCCCCCCAACCTGGCACTCGGGTCCCTGTGGGTTCGTACCCGTCCCTTGTGCATAGGATCCGGCCTCGCTCCCGGCGCGCGCCGGGGCCTGGGGCAGGGTGCTGCACCCTCTCCCAGGCAGTGATGGGTCTCAGCTCCACAGAGGGCTCGGGCCACAGCAGTGGGTGGCCCCGTTGCACTCTCCAGCAGGGAGAATAGCTCCAGCTGAGCTGCACCCACAAAACACTGGGAGAGGGGCTGGGTGCATGGGAGGACCCAGCACCTCCGCCACGCAAGGGCAGTGGGCAGGGCCTGGTGCTGCAGGCAGGGCACAGCCAGGTCTGGTACAGGCAGGAGCTATGGCTTTGGAGCCCACTACTCCCCTCCTGACCAGGAAAATAACTTGCAGACCCCAAATGCAGAGCTTTGGCCAATCTCGTCCGTCAGCCTCGATGGCTATGCCCCCAGCTCCTTCCCGTGGCTGCAAAGAGCCCAGCAGCAAGCTGGTAAGCTTGAATTCACCTCCCCTGCCCACATCCACCCAAGTTTTGGAGCTGGGAGAACAGCCCAGCCCTTGGGTACAGGGACATTGCAGGGACAAGTCAGGATAACTCCAGCCTGCTGGGTGAGCCCCAGCGCCCACCCGTTCTGCCCCACAGCCCCAGGAACAAGCACGGAGCTCGGAGCAGCCCAGACCTGGCACCTCGAGAGCAGGAGCACACACCCAGGAGCTTTTAGCAACTGTAGGAAACAGCTCTCCAGCACACTTCCCAAAGAGTCCAAACACACCACGTTTGTTTTGCTGATAGAAAGCCTCCGACGAACACGTAATCATCATACATTTAGCAATCGGAGCGTGCTATGTAAATACAACATAATTTATTGGTTCCATTTCAGAGAACTATAGTGGTATTTGTACGAGTGTCCTAACGATAGTACAAGAAATGAGAGTCACGTATGTACAGAGATTCCAGGACACAGAAAAACTTTGTAAGGAAGAAGTGGTTAGTGGTACAGTTTGGTCACTGTTCATAGAAACCTTTTCTCTTACTGTAAACCCTGCTTCCCCACTCCCCCCAAATCCTAGGTAGACCTATCTACCTACCTCGGGGGCACTGCAAAGCTCTCGTCACGCAGTGGAGTTGCTTGTGCAAGCAGCAGGCAAGGCTAGCGGTCTCTGGCTGCACACCAGAGACTCTGGTTACGAGATGTGTGCAGCTGAGTGGGGACGTGCTGCTCGGGAAGAGGGAGAAGGCTCCATACCCTAATGGGAAGCAGAAAATGGTCCACACACAGCCGGTGAGGCTGGAGGGCAAGCAGCCCAGTTCCTTCTCGGCAGGGTCAGCGTACCACAAAGAGATGGGGAAGGGCAGGTGTTTGAGAAGAGGACTTCCCCACGCCTGTCCCAGCGCCTTCCCTCTGCTCATTCCCACGAGGCACAGGTCTGCTTGGCCTAAGGCTGCCAGCGCGGATCCCCGTCCCCCATGGGGACGGTGCACCCAGAGCCGCAGCTGAGCTGCGCCCGGGGAGAAGCTCAGCTCGGAGCTGGTGTAAGAGGCAAGAGCAGATTCACAACGGCAGTGCTCCGGCACAGACTCCGTTAGCAGTGGCAGCGCTGGTCTAGCCATGAAAGAAACCCAAGCCCAACTTCTTTCAGAGGGAAAGCAAGGAGGGCCAAGCCTTGGGGATGCCAAGTGGAGGGTGAGCATAAAAGCAGCTCTGTCCAAAGACTGGACTCACAGCCAGTGGAAGAGGTGCTGGAACCAAAACAGCACCCCAGGGGATCCACGTACACCAGCATTTCTTCCCCGATCCCCACGTAACCTCCCTTCATGGGTGGGAAATGGGTGTCCGGAGGGAAGTACCGCTTCCATGGCAGCACTAGCTACACGACACGGCTCTATCTGAAGCATCTGGCTCAGCTCACTTGGTGCCACTGCAGTGAGGGGATGGGAAAGAGGCAGTACAGAGCGGCTCCTCCCTCCTCAAAGAGCAGGCATTACCACCAAGTGGCCCAAAATCTTTTCTTTTTCTTTTTTATAGAAATTACTATAAAAAACTAGTTTATCTGGAGCATCTTTAAAAAAATATTCCTGCAACATCACAGTTTTACATTGAAACTCATTAAAAATATATAGATTTCTTTAACAAAACGTCTCTGTTCTCCCCTTGAATCATGTCTCCAATGCAGGAGTGGGACTTGGACTCCTCGGAAGAGACGCCGAGGGGGGAGCAGGAAGGTCTGATCTCAGTGGCACATCCGGGAAGTCATTTCCTTCTGTCAAAGGGACAGACAAGACAAGGGACCATGAACGAAGATCCAGATTGCCAGGTGAGAGTGTGGATGAAAAAAAAACCTCACCTTTGTTTAGTCGTAAATAAGGCACGCGGTAACACTAAGAGCTCCAGTTCGGGCAGGTCCATGTTCCCCCCATTGCTCCCATTCCTAGGCACCTTCATGACACCCTTCCACTGCCCAACGGCTCTGCAGGTCTGCTCTGCTGCTTATGGCTTTAGAAACACCACCACCATCTCCTAGGTCTGGGTCAGTTCTCCATCCTCCAGACTCCTTGCGAAGGCGGTGGTGTTGTCCTTGCTTTTCAGCATGGGAGGTGAGCACAGCGAGGGGCGTTTTAGCCATCCACATCCTGGATGGCTAACGGTGCCGCCTCGTTCAGTGCACGCAAACAAGGCAAGCCAGCTGCTAGAAACGCAAGGAGGCTGCTGAAGAACAAGTCAACTTCCCCCAACCGATGCCCAAACAATCCTGGTTCAGCTGTGCCTGCATGTCCTGACTTTTCCTGACAGTCAAACTGCAAGGGCAACTGATGTCCTGAATTTGGGCACCCAGTTTTGAGAAGACCTCTGTGACTCCTCCACCCCCAGGCCACCCACTCTGCGCTGGCTGCAGACCCTGACAGACCAACGTGTACCCTGAGCCCACTGAGACACTCACCAGTGGTTCCAGCTCCTTGGTGTCTATGAGATTGAACTCTTTCACAAAGTAGTAAAAGTGCTTGTAGCAGGTGTTCACATGGGCTTCCGATCCCATCTGGGTGATCCTGTCAAAATGGTGGATGTAGACATGGACAAAGACCCGGAAGAGCCTGGAGAGAATCTTCTTCACCACCGGGAGGAAGTTCTTGGGGAAGGGAGTACCTGGGAGTGAAGACACGACCAGGAGAAACTTTCAGCGGAGTTAAACCTGGTTCCTTGGGGCTACAATAAATTGATAAAAAGGCTATGTTGAGATAAAAAGGGCTTCTGTCCCTGGTAATTTCCAGCTCCTCTCTCCCTTCTCCTTTCCGTTTGGATCAGATTTTTCAAAGCACAGATTTCTTAAATGACAGAGTGCTGCATGCCATCGATTGCTGCTAGCGACTGAAAGCAAGAGACCAGCCTCAGAGACTCCCAGCAGCTGTTTCAGTCTGATAGAGTTTTCTTCCGCTCCTATTCGGCATGTTTATATAAATACTAGATACGACCGAGTTCCACTCCAGAAGCAACTTCCCAAAAGAGAGAGTCCGTGCTGTTAACTCTCCACAGTCATTGCTTATTTGGCTATGTCTTTAGCTCTTTGGTTAAAAATTAAAGATGTTATGGTCCTCTTTAAAGGCATCGGTTCTTTGGGATTTGTTTAGCCAGGGCCCTGCAGCGGAGCGGTGTGGCCAACCAGCCACCTCAGTAGAATATTACAGTTTAAAGTTCACACAGGTTGTTTCTGGAGGAATGAGGATTAGTTAAACCCTTTCAGTGCTCTGCAAGAACTGCAGCATTGCAGTTGCTGTTAAGGGTGAGGAATCTGGTAAAAGCTCAGCTGAAAACAACAAGAACAATAAAAAAAGAATCCCCACAACCCTCCTGCTGTCAGAAACTTGTCTTGCCTCCCCGAACAGAACAAACACGCTGCTTATAGTCCCCAGAGAGTCTTGCAGAAGAGCTCTAACTAAAGGCAACATAGCAGCCGTTTGGGTGACAGGAGGAACGGGTTGGGAGGATTTCAGTGTGGGCCCTGCTCCCCACTCTGCCTGCTCACGCCAGGTTTAAGTGGCATTTTGGCATGGATGGAAGAGCCCCGTGGATGCTCATGTGGCAGAGGCGGCAGGCAGGTCCCAAACAGAGGCCAACTGTGTTCCATCAGCGCTTCGATGGGATAAATGCTGGGGCAGGAGGGAGGGAGCTCCGCTGTATCTCGTCTTTTGCATCCCAGAAGATGGGAGCTCTGAATGGGATCAATCATGTTTACCTAATGCTTTAGATACTGAATTTTCACATCTTACTCAGCACAAAACAAACAGAAAACCCAACATCTTTGTCCCAAAGCCAGTACACGAAACTGCGTTTGGATATGCAGATTTAGGTGTCTTAGGCCAAATTCTCATTTCCATCACCCTGGCAATAGATAAAACACTGCCCCTCCCTCCATGCACATGTCAGCATCCCACCCAGCTGCAACAAACAACCGAGTGCCTGCCAGGAAGCACTGAGCTAGAAAGGGCAGAGTCAGCTAACGCCAGCCTGTAATAACAAAGAAGCTAATTATGGAAACGTGGCCACCATCACCAGGCCAACGCAGAGCACGCACGTTGAACCTAAGCTACCAATCAGCTCTGAAAGAGCTGTCCTTCAGGAGACCACGAACTACTCAAGAGTCATGTCAAAGACTGACTTTTCTAAGAGCAGCCTCTTGTTTTCGCTGCCAAGGCTTAGCTTGGCTTTCCTCGAGGTATCCAGGACTCTAAATGGGATCTGGTGCAGCTCTGGGTATTTTAGCACTCCACAAGAGCTCTGAAGTTTCTTGGGTGCTCAGGAGAGCTTACTACACTGCCAGCCTCTGAGCAGCACAAAAAGAAATAGCTCTGCTACGAAGGTGACCTGTACAACAGCATCTCCTGGAACAGAAACGGGACCCAAGGGCTCAAAGGAGAAGGCTCTGCACCAGCCTCCCTCCCCCTGCCACAACTGGAACTGAACTCACCAACGTTAGTGGGAAAGATGTCCTCGTTGTTGATCTGTACCTCAATCCAGTCCATCAGGAGGTTCATGTACTGGGGAGCAGACAGGGCTGTGGGTTTTCGGTACTTGTGCTCGTCCTGCCATCGGTACTCGTACTTGGGCCCCCCCGACATGACGGGGCAGGACTGCTCTGTGCAATAGTCACTGATGGTGCCGTAGATCAGGTTGATGCGGTTGAAGAAGTCCACCACGTGCACGGCCACCCAGTCGTTCTGCTCCTCTCCCGGCGGCAGCTGGACGGCAACTTTCAGGTCCAGGCCAGCGTTGAGCGAGGCTTGAGCCTTCTTGTGCAGCTCAAACCGCTGAGTCCCCGGCTCAAACTTGCGCTTGGGCCGGAAGGTTTTGTCTTTATTGAACACTTGCTTTAAAGCATGGGACATTTTTCTTCTTTTCTTCTTTCTTTTCCAGGTCCGTAGTGATGACAGCCGGAGACGCAGCGCTGCTGGGCCACTTCCTGGGGCAGGGCTGGAGCCACTCTGATCTTCACAGGAACCTCGCTCTGCTCATCTGGTCCTGATCTGCAACACAGCACAGAAGGGCAGCGATTAGGAGCAGCTCTCTCAACAGGAAACCTGGTCTAAATCCCATAGGAAGAGATCTGGGATACCATCTGGGCCCTCGCCCCAGATCTGAGAAGGGGGGGAAGCCAACGCCAGCTTTCTTCCCTCCCCCTTCTCCCTACAGCCCAGCCCGTGGCACTGCGGTGGCGCGGCTGTCAGAGGTGACCTGGGCTGAACGAGGAGTCACCCCTGCAAGGTCTCCTGATGCTCAGTGTGGGGATGAGGGAACCAGCCCCATCGGGAAGGGGTGTAACGGGAAGGGGCAAAGCGAGACATCGAGGTATAGTCCCCCCGTGCCATCCAGCGCTGCCTCTGCGGGAGATAGCTGCCACTCACCCCGGCATCATCACACTCAGAGACCCAAACCCCACAGAAGCAAGGACAAACCACCACCTATTCAACTCCAAGACACCAAATAGTTAAGAAGGGTAAAACAAGTTGGGTTTTACCTGGATCAGGTTTTTCACCTACGCTTCCCCCCGCCTTTGGAAACAAGCTAAAAGGTAACGTTATGACAACCTAAGATAAAGTTCAGATCTGTTGCCAGACATACTCCAACAAAACAACCGTTTGAGCAGGAGCTGCATGCGCTGTCGTAGCGTTAAAGACAGAACACGAAATGGCGGAGGGGAACAAGAAGAAGAAGAAGTCGTGGCTCAGGCACCCGGAAAGAGAATATCCTGAAATAACACCAGCTCTAAGAGCAGCCACAGCCTCTTCTGCAGGTGCAGACAGACCAAAAACATATTTTTCATTTCAGTTTAGCTCACTCCAAGTTGAAGGCTCGTTGAAAGCTGGAAGACCAGGGAAAGCTCACCTTCCTCTTCTAGTCTGTAGAAAAGAACTAACTTGTGTCTCACCCTCTTGGAGCCAAGATCTGAAAGGATGCTGACGAGAAACACAGCTCTGTTTATCTGTAGCTAATTATACCTCCTTTGTTCCCACATCCATCCCTTCGTATAATTTGTGTCAAGCTGCTCTTTGATGGAAGCTCAAGGCAGAAAGCTGTGTGTACCAAAAATATTATTTTACAGGTGCTGGACAGAGGAATAAATAAAGTAACAAAAATTAACTAAAGCTGATGCCTTACTGAATCTGGCAAATAAGAGTTTTCATAGTTTTATAAGAAAGCATACAAACAAATCCCTTTCACCAAGCAGAAATCTACTTAGATTTATATGAGGCCATAGCGTTGTTCAAATAGGTAGACAGTATCTCAACTTTGGCAAGAAAATCCCAAATTCAAGGTCAAGACTACCTTTGCCGCAACTCAGCCCGTCTCCAACAGATGCTGCATAATGCTAATCAGCATTTCTTCTCTGGAGAAAGATTAAAAAGATTTAAACTAAGGCCTCTTGTTTCCTTATTTAATTACAGCAAGGAAGAAAACCCAAACCACTTCAGTTTGTCCCACTAAGAACAGGCTCGACGTTTCCTAGTGCTGCTTTTCCTGCGGGAATGGGCTCAGTAACCTCTTCTGTGCAGGAGCAGAGATCCAAACTCCTGTTGCAACGTGGGCCACGACACACGTTGGGAGAAACTGAAAAAGCATTTTAACGTGGTTGAGCGAGATCTACCCTGGGCTGCACGGTGAATTCGCCATACGCATGCTTTCGCTGCGCACAGCACTGCTAAAGCAGCTGCTGCAACCCTGTAAGATACTGAGTCAAAAAAAAAAACAAAAAACAAAAAACAAAACAAACAAACAAACAAAAAAACCCCCCAGAAAACGCATCCTTATGAGGTGTTTGATCATGCCACAGACATGGTTAGAGGAAGTAGCAAATGGCACAGAGGGACAGCTGAGCACGAGGCAGCAGCTTTGGTTACCGAGAGCTGTGTCACAGCCTCACCACATCCTGCGGCAAAACGCCGAGGCGACCGGTGGGGCGGAAGCACCAGGGGACTGCGCCCACCCAGCCACGCTGCCACGTCCGGAGCAAAGGCAGGACCAGCCTCCAAGTAACAAGCAATGTGGAGAGCAGGTGCTGAGCCTGCAGCTATTTCCAGCAGGAAATCAGTCCCAGAGCATTGCACGCAACGATCTCCTTACACTGGAGAAAGACGTGTCCTTTAAAACAAACAAGACAGAGAAGCACAAGCTTCGTCGCCCTCCACACAGCTCCCTGGAGGAGTGGCAGCATCCTCGGCGTGGTCCGACTCTGGACCTACTTATCTTCTGTAGGATCTGTCTGATTGCTGTGACCACACTCGCAGCCGTGCTGGCCCGAGACTGCAGCCGGGCACCGTCCCTTCCGCTGGACAAGGACGTGTTTCTCAAGCAGGGCTCAGGCTGCAGCCGCAGGGCCCGGCACAGAGAAGAGACTGGGGGGAAACAGAATGGTAAAAGAGCAGGGAAAAAAACACAATATCCTCTGGGCTTGGCCACGCATGTCAAGAAGCAAACACCAACCATTTTCCAGCAGAAACTGTCATTTGAGCAGGGTGGAGAGACTTTTAATATGGCTTATTTGGTATCAAGGCAGTACCTGTCCTACAAACAACTTCCTCTTGCTACAGAGACATCATTCATGAGAACTGGGGAGCTCGACACAGCAGCAATCGTCTCTCAGACAATTCAGGCATTAGCAAAATGAGTAGCTGAGATTTCAAGCAGATACAGCCTATTTAATTATGGTCTTTGACTGCAACTGAGCTAAAAGAAACATTTAGCTCTAGGGTAAAAAAAAAAAAAAAAAAAAAGCAGCGCAGAGACCAAAAGCATCCCTGACATTGCTTGAAGATGATATCACACGTACAACACCTACTTCCACAGGCAGGAGTCACAGCTCAGGCAGCACTAAGACACTGACTTTGCACAGAAGAGAAAGGAAAGGTTAGGAACAATTAGGATATGGGACATGCAAAGCACCTGAAAGGTATCTGCAAGCTTCAAAATGAGGAAAAAAAAAAATCCACCCCAAGCAAACCTGCAGTACATTTTGTTTACGCCTCCTTTCCAGCCAGCCAAGATTACAGCACACGTCACCGGTGCTCCGAGAGGACCTTGGCCATCCCTCCGAGCTCACACAATTGCCGCAGAAAGCCCCACGCCGCGGCAGGCTGTCCGGAGCACAAACAAACCCCCAGCTTCTCTGCTACTCCCAAGGACACGAGAGGAGCGGCTCGGTATTACGCTGGTTAAGGAGCCAACTCGCCTGCCCAGCGAGGGGCATCGAGGCCTGGCCCTCCCTTCCCTTCCCAAAAGCTCGTTTTCTCCCCCTGCTCTCGCAGCTCCAGTCCTAACGCTGATTTCTGCTGACAGCAATCCAGGACAGGGCTGTCTGTATTGCCCTGCTGTTCCTCTCCCCTCGCCGGGAACGGCAGATCAGGCGCTGCTGCCTTACTTCAGAACCAGGCTTGGGGCAAGGGAAGCCCAGGTGGTCGCTTCCCCGGCTCTCGAATATTTTACACACAGCTCAGAGAGGTTGTGAAAAAAGGAAAGACAGTTACCTCCTCCGAAACACCGGGAAACCGCCTCCCCGTGCAAGCCTGCTGCAGCCCCCCCCAGGTTTTCCAGCTGCGAGCAGCGTTCCCGTCACATCCTGCCCTCGTCGCAGAGGCGGAACGGCCCGAAACCCTCTTCCAGGAGCCCCACGACCGCCCCGGCAGCGCCTGCCCCCAGCACCACCCGGCTCCCCTCTGCCTCTAACACCGTGCAGGGCTTCAACAACAGCCAGGGGAAAAAAATAAAAGCAAGCCAGCACGTCAGCAAGCTCCTACCTGCGTTTCTAGCCTCGGCAGATCACTCGTGCAGCCGCTCAGCCTGTCCCTTGCAACTTCTACGAGCGCTTGTAGGCACTGAGGCAGAGAGCTTCCTTTTTCAAAAGAGGGGGAGAAAAAAAAAGAAGTCCCGTTTCAAGCGCGGCTGCAATCCGAAGGCTCCCGCAGGCCGGGGAGGGGTCAGACACACGGCCACTTCCCTCCCAGTGACCCCAGTGCCGGGGCGGCTCACATCCTGCTGCCTTGCTGCTACGAAAGCCCTTGAGCAAACCCCAGTGAGCAACGCGTTTCTCAAAATAATTGATTTATCTAGTTTCCTTTTAGGGAAGCCACGCCGCTGTCTTGCGAGACGATGCCAAGATGGCATTGCTGCTCCGCATTTACAGCGAGTCCAGCCGAAGGCTCCTTCTGTGGCTGGGTGCAATGGGCGGCCCCTCCTGGCCGCGCGAGCCCGCGCCCGTCCCCCCATCCCCACGGCCCCCGGGAAGGAGAGGGCAGCAACAAACCCCCGCCTTCCCCCCGAGCCGTTTTCATTAGTTTTTCACCACTAATGCCATCGCTCAGGCCAGTTTCCAACACAGGACACAAAACCACCCATGTAGCCACGATATATTGGATGACTTGAGCACTTCAAGTAAAATACCCAAATTTACACAGCACGCCCGAGAAGCGAAGCAGCTTCAAAACAGACCAAAAAAAAAAAAGCAGACGGACACACACGCACATTTTTTCCATAACTCCCCCTCCTTCAGAAATACCTTCCCACGGCCATTCTGCAGTTTCTCAGTACAAGATGATACTGGTTTTCTACGATCAAAGGAGAGATTTTAATACAGAGAGCGAGGGCGAGGATCAGACCAATTATGGCAAGCAGGGCTGGAGTGGCACTAATGACAGCAGTTTCTGTGCCTCTGGAGCCAGTCTGGCAAGAAACGAGACGGCTTGCCTTCACGGGATGAGGTTTTCGGCCGCTCTTTTCATTTGCTTTATGACAGGAGAAACAAAGGTCTATCCCTGCGCTTACCTCAGCCGGGGCAGGGCGAGGCGAGGAGCGTGCGGGGCAGAAGAGGAGGGCCGAGCGCGGCCGCGGCAGGCACGCCTGCCCATTCATAACCCCGGCGAGACGGCACTTCCACGTCAGCCGGCTTCCTGTCTGGCACCGAGTCCGGCCTCCCGGCCCAGGGAGCTGCCAACGTCTTCCCAAAAGCTAATCATTCCCTTCCATAAGCTCCGTCGTGG